GAAGATAGATGTAATCAAACTTTGAAAAGAATTATAAAAAAACATGTTAGAATAGGTTCAACAATATATACAGATTCGTGGTATGGTTATCAAGAGTTAGAAAATTTAGGTTATCAACATATTAAAGTAAATCATTCAAAAGAAAATCTCAAACAAAAGATTAGAAAAATACATACATTAACTATTGAGGGAACATGAAGAGGAATCAAAATGAATTTAAGTGAACGAAACAGAAATAAAGAAGTTATAAATGATTATTTAATGGAATTTGTTTGGCGAAGAAAGAATAGAAATAATTTATGGCAAAGTTTTTTAAATGCATTAAAACAAAATATACAATAATTTTTTTATAAATAACTACTGTTAACTAAAATAAAAAGAAAAAAAAATGCAATTTAAATTTTTATTATTGATACAGTTGATATTTTTTATTATATCAAATGAAGCTGTGAGAACAAAACAACCACACACTTCTATAAAATCAGCTCAAAAACATGGTAGAATTAAGAGTTCTAAAACAGTAGTAACTCCTGTAAAAGCTTCTTCAGGCTCAGTAGTTGATATTCTGGTTACATTTAATTCTAAAAAAAATAAATATAAACGTATATTAAACAAAAATGGTAAAATATGTAAGAGATATTCAAATAGAATTTTTGTAGAACATATTAGTAGAAATAGTCAAATTCGATATTCTCCTATTCATAAATTAATACAACCAACATATTAAATTAAGGTTGAATTATTTAAAATTTATTTATATTATTAAATTAAAATTTTTGTATTATATTAAATTATATAAATAATAAAGAATTTTTCTTTAGTTAATTAAAAAAAATGAAACGTAAAAATTTTGAATCTCAAAATTCTGATATTAAAAGAATCAAAAATGAAGAAACTATTCATCTTATTAGTTTAGTTTTTAATTATATCAATGATCCATATACTTTTCAAAATGCTTCACTTGTTTCTAGAGATTGAAAAGAAGTTCTTGATACTCATGAATTTTAGAAAAATCTAAATGAACATCTTGGATTTGAAGAACCAAAACCTAGATCACAAAAATACAAAACTTATAAATCTATCTTTGTTAAAAATATCAAGAAAACTTGTGAAAAATGTAGAAAAAATATTGGAAAAGAAAACAAAGATCTATTAAATTTATAAGAAACTTAAAATTTTTAGTTACTATTCATTTAATCGATATGAATTTTATAAACAGCAATTGTATAATGAATTTTGTAAATTTACACAAGATGAACTTAAAAAACTATGTTTTCAAAGTAAGCATGAAGATTTTATTTTATGTGAAAATTGTAATAATGAAGATTTAGTTATTGAAACAATCAAACAATTGATAACTAAAATATATAAGGAGAAAGAAAAAAAAGAAAAAATTCAAAAATTTAATAATCTTTTTTATAAAGATTTTTTTAATGTTATTGTTCATAATTTATATCATATAAAAAATCATATTAATAGTTTGTATATTAAAAGATTTGGTAGTATTGTAAAAAAATTTAGTAATTGAGATAAAGAAGATAAAAATAAATATGTTAATTATAGTGTTTCTGATTCTGAAGATATTGATTATAATTTTTATAATTAAATTAATAAATTTATAAGTAATATTATATATTTTTTTTATTATGAAAATAAAATTATTAATTATAATTGCATAAGTGAAGCGTGCTAAAGTGAATTCATGTTTAAAGTTGATTTTTTATAATTCAACTAAACTTGAACTTGTGACACAATATTACCTATAGCTAGATTTCATTAAGTATTACCTATACTATAAATAATCATAATAGACTTATAAATAACTATTCTTTAGAAATCAAATTATATTTAGTAGCATCAGGTGTTTCTTGTAATGTATTAATGCAATATATAATGCAAGTATTACTGTTTGTTATAAAACTATTAATAATTACAAAAAAAAAGTTGTAGCTATGCATTCAAAAAATATTCAAAAATATTTTGCTAAAAAAGTAAGTATTATAAAATAAAATAAAATAAAAAATAAAAATAAAAATAATAAAGTACGCTACTAGTATCCTGGGGATTTTTAGATTAAAATCAAAAAAAAAAATTAATAATAATAAATAATAAAATTTAAATTTACTCAAAATTCTGTAATTATAGTTAAAGTATGAATACAATGCTATGATAATAAGTTACAAAAAAAATATCATAACTTATCTATAATATATAATTCTTCTAAATTTTAATATTTTTTAATATTTGATTAATAGTTTTTTCATATATAATATTTTTTTTTTTTTTTTTTTTTTTTTACGTTGATACAAATGCTATTGGCTTAACTTTTATTAAGTTATTATAGTTATGAAATATAATACATATTGTGAGAGTACAACTAGCCACACATACAATTTTAGATTATCTATTTTAAGTAGTCTGCCTGAAGGTTCTACACTAGCTGCTATATCTGAAATCTCTTAGAAGATTCTCTATTTAAACTCTCTGGCCTATCTCACTTACTGCAAAGATTACTCTTTATAGTTAACCATAACTCTGTACTACTCTACTTTAGGAGGTACCTAAGCTAACATTAGTCACAAACTTTATTGTTATAGACCTAGGTCTTATCTGAATAAGTCTCACTTCAATGCTCCTTAACAGATAGATATTATAATACCTAACTATGCTCAATTTAGCTTGTATATACCCTTATTCGATGTTCATACAAACCTGGTTCTAGCTATGGCCCTCTATTAGTTTAGATTTCCAAATATTTTACAAAGTAGATCCTCCTAATCTAGTTAGCTACTAAGCCAAGTTAGTGTAGCTACTAAATGCAAGGTACTAGGCTGTATTATACTGCAGACTTACTCGCATCTACTCGATTTGTACTCAGTAATCTTTGTCAGATTAAGCATTAACTGGCATAACTATTAAATCTATACTACTTTACCTAACTTAAGATTTCTACTATACAGATCTTCTGCAAGTAGATTCTATCTCGATTTATTTGTATAACACAACTCCAATATTTTGTCATACTTCCAATATCAGAACAACATTAGTACAACGTGATTTATAGTGTTATAACCTCAGAAACAGATAGAGTTTACTATAAGTTAGATACAGATATCTAGGTAATTATTCAATTCAGTTGATAGTAGGATTTGAACCCTAGACCTCTTGTATAGTAGTCTGACAACCTATTCACTACACTAGATCATTAGACCTTATATATAGTTATTGAATTATCTTAAAAGCAATATTAGAATAAATTATTTTTTACCTTTATTACTTTTCTTACTTTTTTTATTTTTCTAAAAAGCTATATAAACTCTTCCTTTTCCTTTCTTGTAAAGTTAGTTCTGTAGAATTCTATCTTAATAATATAATACTCAATAAAATTCTAAATTCTCTATTAGTTCTTTAATAAATATAATCTTTTGGCTTTAAAAATAAACTTTTATTAACAAACTACTATAGTGATATAATATTCTACTTTAATATTATTAGAAGTCTTTTTTCTATATTTTATATTATTTGGAATATATTAAGAAGGCTATATCACTTGTAACAATATTACTATTTTTATATATATATATACAAATATTAAATATTTAATATATTTATATTAGTATAATATCACATTAGGTATCTTAAATGTAGCAAAATATTTTAGAAATCTTAACTATTATACATAGACTTAACTCTATAATTTTAATTAATAAAGTTTCTATTTTGGTATTATAAAAAAAAAAAAAAATACTTATATATATATATATATTAAATATAATAGTATTTGCATATATATATATGCAAATAATAATATATCTAATATGCATACATATATAAATATATTAAATATTTTAATATTTGTACATATATATATGCAAATAGTAATATATTTAATATATCTATATATATAAGTATATTAAATATATTTTTTTTTTCCTTTGACAGTCACACTTTATGTATTTATTAGATAAAGAGTTACAGATAGCTAGTCTGCATAAGATTTAACTTAATATGAGAACCTATAGTCCCTCCCTATTCATCTAATTTTCTAATAGAAAGCACCACTTGACACTCCATTTGCATACGTGCTCAAATGTGACCTGTCACACTAAAAACCTCCTTAACATAAAGAAAAAGAGAAGTCTAGACAATTTTGTCTAACTGTCTAGGAAGATGAATATTAATAAAAGTAGAATAAAAGGTCTGGTGATCTTAGTGTAGTGGTTAGGTTGCCAGATCGCCATGCAAGAGGTCTGGGGTTCAAATCCCACTGTCGACGAATTTGAATAATTACTCGGACCTTTGTATCTAACTTACGG